TAAGGAGAACTATTAAATCCCTTAATAAAATGTAAATGATTATAATCTCTATGAAAAACTGTATTTCTCAGAGAACTCAAACTAGAACTACACTAAATCAAGCAATCTTATGACTAGATATATACCCAAAAGAAAGGAGATCAGTATATGAAAAGTATATCTGCACTTCTGTTTATGGCAACAACCTTCACAATAGTTAAGATAGGGCTTCAATCTAAGTATTTATCCATCAATAGATTTGTGGATAAAGAAACTGTGATACACACACACACAGACACACATAAACACGCCACACACAAAAAAAGACAATACTACTCTGCCAAAGAAAAAAATAAAATCACACATTTTGCAGCAACATGACTCGAACTGGGTATGACAGATAATGTGTTAAGTGAAACAGGTCAGGCACAGAAAGTCAAATATAATGTGTTCTTACTCATAAGTGTGGTGTTAACAAAAACGAATGCATCTACATAGGTGTAGAGAGTGAAATGACAGTTAATGAAGACTTGGAAGGGTGAAGGGGTGGGAGAGAGGTAAAGGGTGAGACATTAATTAATAGATACACTGTATGTTATTCTGGTTATGGCTACCCTAAATCCCTGAATTACTCAGTATGCAATCTACGCATGCAACACAATTACCATTACACCACATATATTTATACATATAAAATTTAAAAATAAATAGACAGCAAAACTTTTTTTTTTTTAATTTTTTATTGGATTTTAGGTTTTGGGGTACATGATCAGAGCATGCAAGACAGTTGCATAGATACACACATGGCAGTGTGCTTTGCTTTTCTTCTCCCCTTCACCCACATTTGGCATTTCTCCCCAGGCTATCCCTCCCCACCTCCCCCTCCCACTGGCCCTCCCCTTTTCCCCCCAATAGACCCCACTGTTTAGTACTCCCCTTTCTGTGTCCATGTGTTCTCATTTTTCATCACCCGCCTATGAGTGAAAATATGCAGTGTTTCATTTTCTGTTCTTGTGTCAGTTTGCTGAGGATGATGTTCTCCAGATTCATCCATGTCCCTACAAACGACACAAGCTCATCATTTCTGATTGCTGCATAATATTCCATGGTGTATATGTGCCACATTTTTCCAATCCAGTCTATTATCAATGGGCATTTTGGTTGATTCCAGGTCTTTGCTATTGTAAACAGTGCTGCAATGAACATTCGTGTACATGTGTCCTTATAGTAGAACGATTTATAGTCTTTTGGATATACACCCAGTAATGGGATTGCTGGGTCAAATGGAATTTCTATTTCTAAGGCCTTGAGGAATCGCCACACTGTCTTCCACAATGGTTGGACTAATTTACACTCCCACCAACAGTGTAAAACTGTTCCTTTTTCTCCACACCCTCTCCAGCATCTGTTGTCTCCAGATTTTTTAATGATCGCCATTCTAACTGGCGTAAGATGGTATCTCAATGTGGTTTTGATTTGCATCTCTCTGATGACCAGTGACGATGAGCATTTTTTCATATGATTGTTGGCCTCATATATCTCTTCTTTCGTAAAGTGTCGTTCATATCCTTTGCCCACTTTTGAATGGGCTTGTTTGTTTTTTTCCTGTAAATCCGTTTGAGTTCTTTGTAAATTCTGGATATCAGCCCTTTGTCAGATGGGTAGACTGTGAAAATTTTTTCCCATTCTGTTGGTTGCCGATCCACTCTAGTGACTGTTTCTTTTGCGGTGCAGAAGCTGTGGAGTTTCATTAGGTCCCATTTGAATAGACGGCAAATCTAAGCATACTTTCCAAAAATAAAAGAGAAGGGGAAGAATGAGAAGGAGAGAAAGAGGAAGAGAAAGATCCTGTGGCCATAGAAGAGTCAATTAGGTATAGAGCAGTCAATAAGTTCAGAGAAAATTGGGCTTCATACAAAGGAACATGACCACACTCAAAATTAGGATTTTGTTCTTATGGTGTAAAAGAAGTGAAAATTAACTGGAAAATATGCATATGTAATATGATTATTGGATAGGTACAGTGGGGAATTGATTGCTGGGTAACAGTAGATTTGCTGTTTGGGTAAGGTAGAAATCAGGCTTGCTTAAATGACAGTGATGATTGCAGTGAATAAATGGCTGCAGTAGAAATGTATTTTGCAGGTTGAGCTTTAAAATGGTAGCATAGTCTCCCAGCACTTTGGGAGGCCAAGGCGGGTGGATCACGAGGTCGGCAGATCGAGACCATCCTGGTCAACATGGTGAAACCCCGTCTCTACTAAAAAAAATTACAAAAAATTAGCTTGGCACGGTGGCGTGTGCCTGTAATCCCAGTTACTCAGGAGGCTGAGGCAGGAGAATTGCCTGAACCCAGGAGGTGGAGGTTGCAGTGAGCTGAGATCGCGCCATTGCACTCCAGTCTGGGTAACAAGAGCGAAACTCCGTCTCAAAAAAAAAAAAAATGGTAGCATAGTGTGTTTGACTATGTGATGAATGAGGAATAGTCACGAATGACTCACAATCAGCTTATCACATAGATTAATATAAATGTCATTTACCCAGAAGAAATAGAGTTGAAAGACAAAGAGCTTGCAGCTACAGGTGGGAGGCGGTAGAGGTAGGAGAAGCCCTATGAGACAGTGAGAGACCCTTAGAGATGCTGATAAAGTGTTCCAAGAAGAAGGATGTGTTCAACAGTGTTACATTACTCAGAGGTCAAATGAGATGCAACACTGAAAATGGACTCCTGGATTGACTGGAACGAAGGTCGAAGATGACTGTCACAAAATTGGAGTACAAAGTATGAAAGCCTCTGTAATGAGTGCGGAGGACCAATTGGAGGTGAGAGAATGCAAGCTATATAATGTGTCAAGAACTTTTGCAATAAGGATGGCAAACAATGTGATAGTAAAGAAGTATTTACAGCTGTAGGAAGACCTTTGTTAAAATGGGAGATGTTTCATCAGGTTTGTGCTGATCGAAATAATCGCATAGAGCATAGACGTTAAGATTCCGGAAACAAATGCTCAAGCTGCCCAGTTCTCTGGGCAACTTGTTGGTGCTGGGTCAACTTTCTGGTGGTTGTAATGAGATTATTCTGTTCTGATTGTTTTGAACTTCTTAGTGAAATCCCGTATGCTATCAGCTGAGACAGGTGCAATATTCTAACACCAAACCACTTTTACCATTCTCTTTAAACATGGTGGATTATTTTCAGCAAACATTGACTTGTTTATATGCTTCTGAGAATTGTTTTAAAGGAATATCTTTGCAGGTCTCTATATTTTGATTAATGAGCCTCACAGAATAAATTCTGAAACATGTTAACCTGTTTTATAACTCAGAAAAAAATGAAATTAGAATTCCCTTTTGTTACTCAGCTCCAAATTCGACATGAAAATGTTCTGTGCTCACTGACATTGGTGATTACATGAGAGCCGCTTACAGAGTTTCCTGTTAATTCCTCCATTTACATTAGGTTATTTGATATTCACCCTTTCCTCAACTTCTTGAGCGACATCTAATAACATATTAGGTAAAGTAATATCAATGTCACTGAAATTTTACATCAGAGGACTTTCACATAATGTTATCTTATTCTTTCAAAAATTCACACATCAATAATTAAATTTCCCTTCTCATTCAGTAGTTAGCATTGTTTTCTGATACTTTTAAAAATGGAATTACAAGAAGTATGCATCTTTTACTTTTTTTTAAAAAAAATAGATTTTCCATCTCTTATTAGCTAGGTTCTTTTCTGTTTTCTCATACTAGATACTTTAATTTTGGTGGCAAGTTAACATTGACATGATGCTGGCCATATTTTAATATATTAACTAATAAGTTACTAGTCTGTTATAAGACTAAAAGAAACTTGAGACCGGGCGCGGTGGCTCAAGCCTGTAATCCCAGCACTTTGGGAGGCCGAGGCGGGTGAATCATGAGGTCGGGAGATCGAGACCATCCCGGTCAACATGGTGAAACCCTTCTCTACTAAAAATACAAAAAATTAGCTGGGCATGGTGGCGCGTGCCTGTAATCCCAGCTACTCGGGAGGCTGAGGCAGGAGAATTGCCTGAACCCAGGAGGCGGAGGTTGCGGTGAGCCGAGATCGCGCCATTGCACTTCAGCCTGGGTAACAAGAGCGAAACTAGGCTAGTTAGAAGTAACGTGCTAAAAATATATTAATAGAACAAATTATTATTTTGTTTGAAAGCCTGAGAAAAAAAAAAACAAAGCCAGAGACAACTGTAATTAGATCTTTGTTAAAGCAATTTTAAGATTTTTTCGTTTGAAGCTTTTAATGCCTCACAAATTAATGTCAGCTGTTCTTTCCCAAAATTTTTACTGGGAGGCTGACGTGCCAATCTTATAAATCTTTATTTATATTACATCCTTAGTCTTCATCCTTTAAGATAGTCATTTTGATTATTCTCCCTTCAGAAGAGGAAACTGAAGTTCTGAAATTTCTGTCACTTTCTATGGGTCCAAAGCAATAATAGCAAGGAAAACAGTTAAGTACAAACTGAAATCTGAGAGATTCCAAATTCTTAGCCCCTTAAAATCCTGCTGTCTCCTTGATAAAATCCATTCAGGTTTTCTTGAAGAATGGTGACAATCACAGGCTGGGACAGAACTGATCAAAGATAAAGCTAGGGAAAATGGGTAGAGCGGCTTCTGGGGAGTACAGGCATAAAACAGCATACATTTCCCTAGAAACAAAGCCAGTTACATTGGAACTTGATAAAACTTTGTCTCAGCTTCTGGGACTTCCTTGCATTTGTTATGTTTTTCTCATTTTCTTAAGATTACTAGAATATCAGTAAATGAACTGAAAAAATAATTTTAAATTTAAATGTGAGCTGTAGAGGACAGAGACAGAAACAGTGAACTCTTTCCCCAGGTGGCTGGCTTAATTAGGACCAAGGAGGAGAGAAGCTTGCTGAAAATATCAAGGAGAAGGGGTCCTGGATGTCCTTATAACATGTTCATAGCGCTCAGATTCCAGACTCACAAACACTCAGGAAGAGACACCAAAATCGGAATTGCAAGCTGATTATTTTATTGGTATATTGAAGTTAGAGCATGATCATATTGTGTTTCATGGCATTTGCAACACTGTTGCCTTCTTACTCATTTCCTGAAACAAGAAAACAAGGAAGATTATAGACAAGACTTGACATGGCAGGAAATGTCTAATCCCTCACTGGTGTTACTGCAGTGAGGGAGATGCCAGCCCATCCTCTTGTCCTCTATCCCCTCTACCTCCCTCCTCTTTTGTAATGTCATCTTTGTTCACTCTTTTTATGCCGTTGCATGTAATGTGTTCTAAAGAGTTGCTTATATAAGGAATTGAAAAGATTTTGTTAAGTTGTTTATGATTTCTTGCTGTTGGACATGTTCACGGTTATTTTCGCAAATATGGGCATGGACACATATCCTGTAATAGTGAGAGCGTGAAACCAGCCTCCATGTCCAGTGACATGCATTGGTTAAAGAAATCATGGCACAGCTAAAAAATAGAATAGTATACACTTGTAAATACAAACCAAAATCACCGAAGAGATCTATATATCTTTTCGAACTCATGTAGAAGGTTTCTAAGAAATACGTTTATTCAATGAGTAGCATTCAGATCTGCATATACGGTGTGGTATCAGTTTTGGAAACACAAGCATTATATATATTTATTTAGCAATAAATATTTCAAAAAAGAAGTTCCAAAGTGTACATAGTGATGCTTTGGAAAAGGGGAGAGGGAAGGAATTATGAGTTATGCTGTTGCTATTTAGCTCCATACATTTCTATTCAGTAAAATTTTTTTGTTAGCTTAATTATGTACTAATTTAAAAGAAAGTATTTTTAAAATGATACACCATTTAACACCTGAAAGACCAAGGACCACTTAGCAGGAATACTGGACTTGAAACGCTGGTGTGAGGCAGGACTGAGCAAGGAGTGTTCAGGCGAGAACTTTAAATAAATGGGAGGTCTTTTGAGTTTGAGGAAAGAAGACGGAGCGCCAGAGGGAGGACATGGTTCTACGTTCTCATTGTCAACCATTCATAGGAGAGGTAATTTGAAGACAGTGATTCTCAAAATCAGAACTGCCTTCAAGCAATTGTTTAAAAACAAGGTCTTGCTACCCTACCCCAGACTACCTGAACAAAATTCTTTAGAAATGTGTTCCTGGACAAGGCAATATTAATAGGCTTTCAGTGGATTCGTTGGCACAATGAAGCTGGAGAACTGTAGTAGTTGGGGCCTTTGATGGAGTTTAAACTGGAATCATACCTGTCATTGAATCCTAGATTACTGGGGAGGCTGCCCCTGTTGTGGGGGTGGTCCTTGTGGCTTTCCTGGGGGAGGTGGTGGACCGTGGTGGTGGTGGCCTCCTTGTGGGGGTGGTCCTTGTGGCTTTCCTGGGGGAGGTGGTGGACCATGGTGGTGGTGGCCTCCTTGTGGCTTTCCTGGAGGAGGTGGTGGACCATGGTGGTGGTGGCCTCCTTGTGGCTTTCCTGGAGGAGGTGGTGGACCGTGGTGGTGGTGGCCTCCCTGTGGGTGTGGTCCTTGTGGCTTTCCTGGAGGAGGTGGTGGACCATGGTGGTGGCGGCCTCCTTGTGGGGGTGGTCCCTGCTGAGGACCATCATCCTGGTTTTCATCACCAGCAGGTGGGTCTTCTCCAAGAGGTGGTTTCTGACTCTCCTCATCTGGGCTCTGATAAGAGTCCCCTGCATCTGTGTGAGTTGAAACCAGAAGAGCTGAGCTCAGTGCTGGAAGAAGCTCCTGCCTTCAAACCTCTCTGTGTTCACCACACAACCCGTGTCTCCCGGACCTGCCTCTGAACTGTCAGCCTCCCACCTTTCCAAGGCTTCCTGATTAGAACTCCTCTTAATTCACATGAGGGTGATGAAAAATCAAATGCCTTTGCTCATGGTCCGCAGAATCAAGGTTGGGAGAAAACTGTTTCTATCTCTGGGGGCACTAATATTAGCCAATTCCTGAGAAGAAAATGATGATAAGAAGACAATTTTTTTCAGGAAAAAAAATTGGAGACAAAGTTTACTGAGAAGTTATTGGGATTTACCTGATATTAGGGAGGGAACGTCTTCCTGGTTGTCATCTAGAAAAGAAGTACAGGATGATGGGAAGAGTTACTTCGTGAATCTTTCAGGGCTCATAGTGTTCCATGAGGAAAAGGGACTCCTGATCACACCCTGTGCATCCCCTAAGTGACCCCATCAGCCACTGTCTGTGATGCTACTGGAAGTGGAGGAAGATGTGAGGAGAAGCAAGGTTGTTACTATGCTGAGCCTCAACCAGGAACTCAACATACAAGGGCCCCCGTTTGTCCTCCCTATGATTCCTCAAGCCTTAGTGCTTATTTGGTTCAACTGCCCTGAGTATTTCAATGTCATACTTCGGGATTCTTCTGCCCTCTTCTGTAAACATGTTGCTGATGTTTGCAAGCTTTCTCAATAAGGGCCACCAGGAAAAACCATTTGGATACATACAATCCTACACACGCCATTCCCAGCACATTGAAATACTAACATAGGGGAGAGAAAAATGACAGTTTCACTCTGATTATTTTCTCTCTCTCTCTTTGTAGAGAGAAACAAGGTTTTCACCCAATTCTCTGTCTCTGCAGTAGCTCTGATGTGTGTTTATCTCCTTCGTCAATGCCAATCCAATGTAGCAAGGCCAGCATCATCCCTGTCTAATGAGATCAGTACAGGATCTTCACAGCTGGATCTCCCTGAATCTGTCTTGCATTCTCCACTGCATCCTTTGCAGCAGCTCCATGTCTCTATAAAAGCAAATCTCTCTCTCATTCCCCTGGTACAAATTATTTATTGGGTTCTAGCTGTGCAATAAATAAATTAGGAGGCCTTGCTGAGGAATGAGGGCACAACAGGTCTTCTAATCCTTGGCATGAGACCTCTGCAGTGACATCTGTTTCCTCATCCTCTTCTCTTCTCTCCACTATCCCCCTCTATAGTGTGAGCCCCTAAATGCCAATCAGAGTCACAAGATCTTGCCCCAATTTGTCTTACCTTCATATAAGCTCTGAGCTGAGCTCACGGCCAGCAGGGCCACTGACAGCAGAATCACAAGCATCTTGCAGGAGGCTCTGGTGTTGCTCCCAGCTTTATGCGAGAGAAACATGGCAGCTCCCTTTATAAAGACAAGCAGAACAATGGCACATTTGAGCTCCCTGCAGGGTGGGCTTCATCACCTCAGAGACTGGGTTCTGCTTTGCTTACTTCAGGTCAAGTGTAACCCTCACTTCTTTTGGGATTCTAGCCCAGTAGGAAGGGTTGGGTAGAATGCTATTTTAATTAAATTTCTAAAACGTACAAGTATAACTTGGACAAAGGTTTTGACCGAACTGTGTCCAAGCAATCAATCAACAGTGTCAGAATTGAACTTTAGACATCATTTGGTTTTTAATCTGTTTGGTAGACCGCTATTCTGCTTCCCACTGTGCTTTTCCTTTCTGTGTGTGTGTGTGTGTGTGTGTGTGTGTGTGTGTGTGTGTGTGTGTTGGGGGTGATAGGCAGCAATCCTACAGCTAACAGTGAAGATAGTCAATGTCTCTGACTCATTTTATAGCCTATTTCCATCTCTCATGACATGTGTGAATGGATATTTTCACATTCAGCTACATTTTTCATGTAGTAGAGATGGTCTTTGCTCATCTGTGAGATGTGTGGACACAGCACACGCCCGGGCACACACAGAAGACAGAAAACTGCTCCGCAGCCTTCTCAAGTTACAGGAATTGTCCAGGCTTCTGTGGATCTTGATCCACTCAGGCAAGCCTTGGTTCTGTACAACACAGGAAAGCTAAACAGTTGTATTTTATAAATATCTTTAGGGATTATTAAAGCAAAACTGAACACAGAAACCACCAAGGAATTTCTTAACCTGAACATGTGTTACCCTCAGTTAGCCACGTGATGTCATATAGCTAAGACCTCCACTTTCTCCAGAATATTCTACCGAATTCATCCTCTGCTTTACTTACCCTGAGAAATATTGCGTTCCCCACCACTGATAATTAAGTGACCATAATTTCACATTCAACAAAGATTATTTGATATGCTTATCCAAGCCTCAACTGCAGTGACTGGGCTTCTGTTTTTCACTCAGTATTTACATCACCTGTTTCATCACAGTGTCATTTTACACAGATGATGTTTTCTATAATATTTTAATATTCATTCTTTCTCACTTTATTTCTGGCAATTATTTGTTGATATTTAATGAGTCTGCTTTGCCATGTATAGTTTTCTTCCTATATCTGTTATGTTTTTTCCCCCACATGACTTTTGAAAGATGTCCTGTAATCTTCTAAGTGATGGTGTATGGTACTCCTCACTACCTTTATTTTCACTTTTGTCTGTACAGTTGGACAATAAACTATTAAGTTTCCAAAAGCCCTTTCAGTGTCCTGGATTGGTAGCTCTCTTCTCAGCTCGGATTGCTCCATAATGCTTAGAATTTCCCTGTTCATCAATTCATAAAATATACTAGTCAGTATCACCAGTTGCCAGCAACCATTTCAGACCTGGGTAATTTTTTGCTTTTTGTGCATGGTTACTTTTGGGTTGAGGATAGCTTAGTTGGAGGCATGGCTGGGAGGCCATTTGACAGGAAATCATAAAGACAAGCCCTTAGACAGGTGTGCCTGCGTGGATCCTCTGCTGTGCATAGGAGGATCTGGTCCAGCCCTTCTGAAGAGTTGCAGATAATAATACAGGAAGGCTTCCTAATAGAGCTGCTTTTGCAGCAGACAGTGTTGTTCTTGTAAGGGAGCCAGGCAGATTGGTTTTTTCCCTGGAATAAATATAGACATATCTGAAGAGGGATTACATTCTTAATTGGCAATTCTTCTCTGGCACTGTAGGAAGTGGATCCGTTCTAGTTGGGCTTTGTGAGTTTTATCATAGGCAGAGCATAGTTGCTTGAGCCCACCAGGTCCCACTGTGTTACTGGGATTATTGTCTCTGGTTTCACCAGATATTGTTTTCCATGGGTTCTGGAGATGAGCCGTTCTGCCTAGGTGACTTCAGGTCAACCATCATGACACAAAGGAAGGTCAGAGAAAAGGAACAAAGAGGAGTGCCAGCCAGATTTTGCCTGATGATGTGGGCAACTGAGCATGCTTCAGGCCTAGTGCAAGAAAGGTTTCTCCTTGGCAGGAGAGTACAGGAAAAGAACAGGTAATGCCCCTAAAGGTCACTTACCGACACTGGAAAATGTCTCTTCTCTTACCTTTTCCAGTGTCAGCAATCAGTAAAAGAGTTTAGTGTATTAGAAATGCATAAATATCAGCTATGCACTCACCAGATATGTCAAATAGAGAGGTGATGGAAGAGCTGAAAGGGACACTGTTTGTGAGTGAGGGTGGGTGGAAGGGAGAAGCAGGACTGGACTGCTTGTGGGGGCTGGGGCACCTAGAGGTGAATGGCAGCCCTCAGCACTTCACTTGCCTTCTGCTCTGGATGTTCATATTCAGATCCTGAAGGGTGGGTCTTCAACATGCGAAATCTTAGAAATCATCTCTCATAACACATCCCAACATTTTCTCAGTCTCTGACAGGGGTTTACACAGTGGTTCCAAAATCCTCACTCCCTCCAGGCTGTACCCATTAGTAGATATAATTGTCTTTACTTTCAAAATACATCCCATATATGGCCACTTCTATCTATGATCTTTACTAGAACATGATTGTTCAGCCTATGATGCTGTCTCCTGGAGGACTTTAACAACCTCCGGCTGGTCTTGGTGACATTCTTCTCCCAGCACATCCCATTAGCTTCCCTCATAGTCAGAGTGATCATTTAGGTAGAGATTAGATTATATCACCCTTGTGCTTCAAATCCCCTGGTTTTCCTTTTGCACTTGTGATAACTTCCAAATTTCATGCCTCAGCCCTTTCACACTCACATGCCTCACTCTTTTCTGAAGACTCAGAACCTCTCTGAATGGAAAAGAAAGCAGAATATTCTTCAACCTTGCCTAGCTCCAATTTGTCTGGAACGCTAAAGCATGGTTTGCCAGCAAAGATGAATACTGGCACAGTGGATAAGCTTCTGCTGAGAGTGAATGAATTGTATTGAGTTGCTGTGGTCTAGCAGTTTATGTGAATTGGAAGAATTGTGGTATTCATTGCACCAACTAAGCATTCTGATAATGCAGTTCGCAAATAAACACAGTAGTCTCTGAGACTTCAACTTTGCTTTGATCTGTCTAAAAGCTTTGGTTACACTATCATGGTGGTCTTCCACATTTTTTAATTTGGTGTTGATGTTCCATAAATAGACATTATGATTTCACAATTAGTTACTGTATTTCTATTCCTCCACCTATCCTAGCCAAGTTGGTTATCATAGAAAACATTTGTTGAGCATTTGCTATATTCCACTTAATCATCCAAGTCATTTTATTAGGGAGATATGATTATGATTACCTTAATTTTATAGATGACGTGACTTAGTTACATACCAATGTTCTTATAAAGGTAATACGTGGAATGGAAGGCGGTAAGTTCTCAGAGCTTACTGTGCTCCACTCCTTACTTGCTATTCATTCATTCATTCCATTACTACAATATGAGAGGGAATGAGGTTCAAAGAAAAAACATAAGTTCTGGTATTAGGAGATTATCAAGGTTAAACTTTCCTAAGACTTTAGCAGGTGAGGTGAGAAATATATTTTTCCTGAGTAAATAAGTTTGTTTTAAATCATAAGCACATTTGCCTAGGCTTCCATTAAACTGTTTTCCTCCTTGCCTTCATATAAAGATACTCATATGATTAATTCCTTTTTCTTGTGATTATGAAAACCCTGTTTATATATATCCTCTATGTGCCTTCATAATATATGCAACATGGATTTTTCTGCCAAGCCATATTAGCTTTGGCAAACTTTGTGCATACCCGTTGAAATGGACCAAACGTTGATTCTCATCACAATGAATTTTAGAAATTCAAGAGAGACACTGGTTAGAGATTTGACCATGAAAGACAAATAAATCTATACCACTTGTATAGACTTAAGTCTTCTGCCTGAGAGTGTCTCTCATGTCTTGGCCCCAGAGCTGGTGTTACCAAAACAGGTCAGGGTCACTGATTTCATTATCCAAGGTGTTACCAAGTGCATGGTCTCATGACCAAGAAAATTAAGGAGTGTGGACACAAGAGGATGAGATTGGAGCAAAAGTTTAATAAGCAAAATACAAAAGCTCTCTGCAGCAGAGAGGGGAGTCCAAGTGGATTGCCTTTTTTACAGTCAAATCCACAGGCTTTTATAAGAAACTGCTGTCATGTCAGTAGCTATTTTTCTTATCTATAAAATTGTCAGCTGGGTGGATTGGCTCATGCCTCTAATCCCAGCACTGAGGAGGCTGAGGCTAGTGGATCACGAGGTCAGGAGTTTGAGACCAACCTGGCCAACATGGTGAAACCCCATCTCTACTAAAAATAGAAAAGAAAATAGCTGGGCATGGTGACTAGCACTTGTAACTCACCTACTTGGGAGGCTGAGATAGGTGAATTGTTTGACCTGGGAAGATGGAGGTTGCAGTGAGCCAAGATCGTGCCACTGCACTCCAGCCTGGGCTACAGAGCAAGACTGTCTGGAGGGGTGGGGGGAAAGGGTGTCTGCACAACTCCCTCTTATACATGTAGTTTTCTAAAGAAGGATTTTGTTAAGTGATTAATGAATAACTCACTTTGTTTAGATAGACACGTATGTTTTATCTTAGAGGAAACATTTTGCTCCTCCTGCTTAAGAACCAAAAATTACTACTGTATTTTGTTGATTTCAAAGTGCACATTTTGGAAACTGGTATGTGTGGCACACTGTATTTTCCAAGGATGGTCACAATAGTATTTTTGGTCTTATATTATCTTCTTACAATGGGACCTTGACATCCTGTCTGGAGGGGGTGAGGTATGATTTCCCCCATTAAACTTGGGTAGAACTTTGTTACTGCTGTGACCAATAGAATATATCAGAAGTGACGCTTTGTGTCTTTTGAGTCTGGATCATAAAAATGTCTTGCAATTCCAGCTGGTTCTCTAAGGGAACTGCCACATGTTACGAGGAAGCTGTGAGGCAGAGATGTAAAATTTGTTTTCAAAAAATAATTGAATGCATCACTGTCCCCAAACAACATAGAATAACCAAGTTTTCTTTAGTGATTGAATTATTATCTGTATCATATGTTGCATTTCTATACATGGATGGCTACATAGCTAAAGCTTTATTCATCATCCCTTTA